AAATAAATCACTTACAATTAAATCTTAATCATACAGAAAATTAAGGATTCGAGGTTGGCGATGATGAGAGATATTGCCGCACAATTGATGACTGCTCTTCGTCAAGATTCATTTTAGTAAAAGTCAACTGAATATAGAAAAGTACGGTCTCTTCACAAAATGATTGTCTCAAGAAATAAAATAAATATATCTTTTTACATTAGCACATGTTCTTGAGCAGCAATTCTCAAAAAGGAATATAGTAGGCGGTAGAAGTGAAAGGTTAAGTCAAATTTCGTGAACGGTCAAGCGACTCGTGATAACGAATACTATTCGTATTGCATATTAATATTAAACCTATAATCAAATATCAACTGCAACATTTCCCACCTAATACTTTGCTCAATTGAAATAAAGTGAAGAAGTGATACATTGAGACGAATGCCATTTAGTTTCACCTTTTTTCATCCCAGAAAATCTACTTTAAAAAAACAACGGTTTCTCATACAGTTTGACGAAACGCAAGTATGGTCGAGCAATATCAGTCTGTAATAGGCTTCGAGATATTCATCTCTTGGATTTCTCAGTAGACGCACAGTATTTCAGTGAAGCTATCAGTTTTTTTAAAGAGAAATCAAGAGTACAAATAGTTGGAAGCCAATAAAGAATTTAGATTTCTCAAACCTGACTATCTTTTTTGAAACTTTACAAAAAAATGCTATTAGTGTAGAAAGTGTTTCTTGAGTGAAAAACATAAAGTTCGAATTTCCTGGAACTCAATCAGAGATTCAGATTTGTCATCGTCAATTGACCTCATTGAAGCGTTAGGATTGTACTAATACATGCATCTATATGACTAGACAATTGGATGAAGACACGAAAACATGGTCACAAAGTCATTTTATCTTATACAACTCTCTTTGCAGTGGAAGGATTAAGTCAAATAGCAACGCATATAAAATAAGACTGAACAAGTTCTCAAGCAGAGATTTATCAAAGCATGTAGATTTTCTTAAATTGAAATCTTTAGAAATCTTTGAAAATCTTCGGAAATCTTTAGAAATCTTTAGAAATCTTTGTGAATCTTGAAATCTGCTTTTTCCACCTTGCATATAAGGCATCAAATGATAAAAATACACCCTTGTACCGCTTATCCCGCTAATGCCACTATAGCTGTATAAAAACATACTTTGATATCACTTATACCTCTATACCGCTATAGCGGTGTAAAAATATACCCTTATGTGGTTATACCGCCATAGTAGTATAAAAATATACCCTTATACCGTTAATACCGCAATACCGCTATACCGCTATTGCGATGTAAAAATATACCTTTATGCGGTTATACCGCTATAGCAGTATAAAAATATACTCCTATATCGTTATACCACTAATACCGCTATGGTGGTATAAAAATATAACCTTATACTACTAATACCACTATAGCTGTATAAAAACATACCCTTATACCGCTAATACCGCTAATACCACTATGCTGGTATATAAATATAACCTTATACCGCTAATACCACTATAGCTGTATAAAAACATACTCTAATACCACATATACCACCATACCGCTATAGCGGTATAAAAACATAACCTTAAACCGCTAATACCACTGCAGCTGCATAAAACCATACTCTTATACCACTTATACCGCCATACCGCTATAGCGGTATAAAAATATAACCTTATACCGCTTATACCACTATACCGTTATAAAATATAGCAATACAAGTTTATTTTGTCACAAAATGAGATGATTTTAAAGAATGTAATTGTACCACAAATTCAAATTTTCCATCATATGTTTTTTTTTCGAATTTTGAGTGGACCAATTTTTCTTCAACAGTTTTAATGAAAAGCTCTTCTTCTTCTGTCTCTGTTTTTTTCTTACAATATTCTGATGATTATATTCCATTCTTCATAAACCAATTATAAGAACGATGCGACGATTATTTATACACTTTTTTTTTTTAATGCTTCTAATCTTTTTTACCAAAAAATTAAAAAGAGTATGAACAAGAATGCTCTTGATGTTACACAACAAATGCTGGATATTTGTATTATGTCTTATGTTGGTGATGCTTGATTGAGCATTTGATATTTTTATGATAGATGTATAAATTAATGATTATTAGTTTTCGTTTATTTTAGGAATTTATTTCTACTTTGTCGATTTCGAACCATGGCAAATGATGATACAGCTGACACTTTATTTCAACAAATTGATTCAAATCGGGATGGACGGTATAAATTAAGAATTTAAATCAAATAATAAATACACACACACATATATATATATATATATTTAGTATTGATAAATGTGAATTTCGTAATTGGTTTTCAAATACTGAGGGATTGGCTACATCAAATGAATCAATAACTGGTACATTTAATCGTTATGCTGATACTACTAATCAATTTGGTCGATGTCGATATAAAGATAGTTTTCAAGATGATTTGGGATATATGGGTGATAGATATAGTTCATATGGAACTAGGCGATGCGTTGATGATACGGTGGTTAATACAAATAATCCAGAAGAAACCAATTATTATCTGGAAAAATCAGGTTCGAATATTTATCATGATCCTAATCCAAAAATTATTCAACGAGCAAGAAGTTCAAGCCCAGTAACACTTGAACAACGAGTTAATGTTCGATATCTTCAACCACCAGATGTGCCACCACCAGGAGTAATCAAATACATTGTTTACAAATTTAATTGTACTAAAATTTTTATGATTTTAGCCACTCATTATTAAAGAAGTGCGTCCGCGACAACGATCGCCACTTCCACCACTTGTCATACATGAACATGCACCACCTTTTCCTTCACCATCGCCACTTATCTTACGTGAACGCCCACCAACACCACCAATATATATTCCTAGTGAAACAAGTTAGAAAAAAAACAAAATAAATTTACATTACATAGTTTAGATTTATCAATGTATTTTATTTTACAGTTATTCGTACTTTACCTCCGATACCTGTTCCACCACGATCAGTTATCATCGAACGTTTTCCACCTCCTCCAGAGAGACCACGTAAAATAATTATCTTCATTTTTCTTTTTGTTGTTTTTTATTCCAAATTGTTGTTTTTTTGCTATTGAGGTGATATTATAATTGAACGATGGGTTCCCTATGGACCTCAACCTGAACGGCGTACAATTGTTGAACATGCTCCTCCCGCTATAGAATATCCACAACCATCTAGTACTACTATTATTCATGCTGCTGCTGAAACACGTGTAGTTCAAAAATTTGAAAATCTTGGTGTTACACAAGAAGATCCTGAATTTTATAGAGTTCGCTATGGGCCATCACTTTTAGATCCAGTAACACTTGTTCAACAAGCTCGCCACGCTGGTGTTGTTGAAGATATAGTAAACTGTTTTTTAAACAACAAAATACCTTCAGAAAAAAATGTAAATCTTTTATTCTAGACGCCTCCAGCACGATCATCCTTCTTATGTACAACTACATGTGGATGTCCTGCTTATTTTAATCGATCGAATACTATAATCAATAGAGGCTATTCATCAAGAGTTCGAACTACTTATGAAGAATACTAATAATACATTTAAAATACTATTTGACTGAAATTCTTCCTTTTGCTTTTTAAATACAGTAGTTTTTTTTGTAGTTTTTATAACGGGATATATAAACTATATAATAAAAAACAGGGAAATAAAAATAAAATAAAGATTGATCATACATCACTGATACCACTATCAGCTGAATCAATTTTTCTTGCATAGCATGTTGGTGTTACTGTTAAACGAACTGTTTGCATTGTATCATACCATATATTGGCATAACCTAACAATGTATTATTTAAAAAGATGAATATTTTTATGAATATAATAATCATTTTTTGGATATGTTATTTGATGATTTATTTCCATAAATAATTGATATGTTTTATTGATACTATTTAATATAAATGTTTGTGTTATCGGTATAAATTCTATTTCATGAAGTTCACAAAGATTTGTAGAAAATCTTCAACTTGATCTAACTTTCTATCATATATATATATATAATTGATAGTCTTCTTCAAATTCAATGCAAACAAGTGGTTTTGAAGAAACAAGACGAAAGTTATCAAATATAATGATTCCATTTGGATTACTTATTCCTTTTAATGATGATATTGAACTTGTTTCAATACGAATAAATTTCTATAAAATTGATCACAAATATGTATTTGACTTTTTTGACTACAATATTTAAGAATTTGTGTTTTTGCTGACCATGAAGCAAGCACATATTATAATGACCACATGATCGGCAATGGTAGTGTTGAGAAGGAATTAGTTTTGAACAAAAGAACCATGTGAAATTTGATAATGTATTACATCTATGTTATTGATCTAGATAGGAGCCTGAGTGCTTAATTATTGTTCATCAGAACGATGACACAGATTGACAAACTAATATAGAATAGAAAAATATAATTTTTATATTTTGTTTTTTTGCTAAGAAAAGAATTTGACTCAAGTCAAGAAATGCTCATCATTAATATATGAAGCCTTTCAAGCAAAATAAAGGATAGTCCACTCATAGTTCTTAAATAAGGAAGATGGGGAAGAGACGAACTGCTGATAGGTCATCTGTTCTAGAATTATTGAATCACTGTGACTTCTTGAAAAAATTAATATTCTTTTACCTACTTTTCATTTGACTTCGTTTCCATATAGTGGTTATTATCTGAATAATTTGTTTTAACTAGACATGCACCAAATCCAAGCCATTTGGGTTCGATTAGTTTGAGTATATGAGTTAGTAGTAGAGTTGGATTTGGATATTTAGTTAGAAATTGAGCTCCAGTTTGCTACATCAACTCGTTGAAATACTGGACTTTAAAAATGGTGCCATTTATGTCAAGTCTCTTCTCTATATCTAAAATTTTATTTTATGTAGATATAAGCAAAAACATATCTTTATGCGACAGATTGTTCAGTGGTGAAATAAAGTTATTCTCGATCTCGATAGGCTAGCCTGAAAAATGGATATTTTTAATCGATTTGGCTAATGTCTGATTGATGGAAACTCAGGTCGAGCATTACGATGACTAGAAACGGTCGTGAATGCTAACGTATTATATCGTTTCACGCCGTAAGTTGCGGTGTTACCATGGAGTATATTATGATCATATTTTACCGTGCCTCAAATGGCTAATCACAGTTGGAATATGGTCGGAAGATACAGTATCCGATAGTTTACGGTAGTTTACGACCGGGCTTGTTTGACCGGGAAAAACGATTGTTTGATGTTCGGTCATTGTCAAACATTGGTTCTCAGAGAGGATAAAGGTAAGGTACCCCGAACTTGAACTCTATTTTCTTGTAACTGAAGAATAGTCTATGATGAATGAAGATTTCTGTCTTTTCACAATATCCCTTCTAGTTGTCATCGATTTGGACTGAATATATTCCGGAAGACAGCATTCAACCCTCCACGAAACCGCATACATGTGAATGTCACGGAAATAAAAGTAAATAGCGCTATTGTAGTAATACTAGAAACATTCAGTGTCAAGAGCTTCAAAACTCAAAAAAAAACAGTTCTCTTATATTTTTGTGTTCCAAAGTGAAGCTATGTAAACATTTTGTACTGACTATTTGGTGATACGGACATAATTTTGGATGAACATATTAAGCAAAATTTTTAAGCCAAGCTGTCTCGGGTTCCATCTCCTCCTCATTATAGAAGAAAGCCAGAAAAATCCATCTTATAGATCGTGAGAGTGTGGGGATTGGTGTGACTGTCAGTGTGAGTCTTGAACTTGCATGCATTTACACCCAGACCCAGACCCACATTCACACACCCACACCCACATATGATGTGGGCAAAAACTTTGTAAGCAGTCGTGAAACTTATCCTGATAACAAATAATAATGAGTTTTTTGAATATTCAGCCAAGTCAGATATTCTCTATCATGATAGAGATCATGTAAATCTTCTAATACGCCTTGCCGCACGGTTTGCCGCTCCCATGATCTAAATAGACATCCTATATAAAGAGAGGATGGCTCACAAACAGGGAAAATACCAATATTTCATTAATACTCCCGTGGCGTTCAGTTTTTCGGGCCCATCGTAGAAACAAACAGTAATAAAGGTCTGTCTCAAATGAAACGACATCAATGGCTAATAGTTTGATGTTCATAGTGAAGAACTAACAATTTCCTCCTCATGATAGAAGCCTCAGACTCACACTAAGGGTCTCTATTCTGATACAATACATAAATAACTATCGTCCATCTCATATACATTTTTGGACCTAGATCCGCGCGGATAAAAGTATTTCCGACAATTTTACGTTTTCATTATGAGCAACGCTAATAAATAGCCGTTGTATGCACGTTGAGGACATAGCTAGCATTAGATGAGGGCTACAGAATTCCAATGAGATCACCACTATAGGAAAATCCTAACAATATCTTCCACACGAATAATTGTCTAGTGCCTCATTTGGTTTCTAGAGCCATACACCTGTAGTTACGGATTTCGTAACTTTTTCGAAAACTGCAATTTTTTTATAGTATTACTGATCGCAGATCTCTTTCAGTCCAATCATCTACTATTTACGAACCATATGAAGTGATAGGAATATCTTCTTAAATCAAATTCCAAAGCATAGAAGCATACGTACTGCAGTCTGAAGAGAGCTGTAAGAAACAATTTTAGATATTTGAACCAAGAGCGAAGTAGATGACGATCACCTTTTCGCGGAGTTCGACTGAGCACGGCATAGAGGCTCTCCTCCGATTTCTCCCATTCCATCATGTAGAGATGTATGAAGGCCGATTTGTCTTGGATCAGCCCATCAGCAGGATTCATTGAATTAACCTTAGATATGAGTGTGGGTGTATGGGTGTAGGTTAAGAGAAGAGCTATACCCGTACTCATATCACTCTGTCATCTACGCCCACCCACACTCTTTAAGTTACAAATGATAAAAATAATCAATAATATTTTCAGTAGACATAATTTCCAAAAACAGAACATTTGTTTGCTATTACGAAAGAATAAGAAATTTATCAATATTTTATTGTTTTGATATCAAAAATTTTTGTTTTTCGAAAAAAAATGATTTATTTCATCCAATGTTGTTTTAGATATTGAATTTGCAAATTCCATATCAAAGAATTTTTCCATAAAAAGCGTCAGTACCGATATGTGAGTGTCTTGCTTCTGCTCCACATCACCTCATTCAAACGTGAGACATATATGCTGTTGAAAAATTTGAAAAAATACCAACTAATCTGTACATGATCAGTTGATCACTTGTTGACTTTATTAGAACAAGTTAATTTTGAATCATTTGGACAATTATGAAAAAAGTTTCAAAAAGCATATGGCAGTGAATCAAATATCGTGTGAGAGCGTTGCATATCATCTTGAATATTTGAATTTCAATCATACCAAAAATAACAACAATATCCATCAGCTCAAAATGATCTTTAAAATGATTCGATAAATTCATCAGTACATTGCTCGATATTATGGAGTGTAGTGTGTGTGACTGTAAGCGCGGGTGAGCTGTGGGTATGGATTTGGGTGTAACTGTGGGAGCACAAGAGAATAACGTCTTAACTCACACTCATCCATCCCGACTCTCGATGATTCCTTTTTTTGTAAAGAAAGAAATAGGTCTATGCCTGTAGTCGAAACAGTAGTAGAGTTAAGGAAGTTTAAAAGAAGAGCGCTGTTTAATTTTCCGATTCTTTTTATTATGATTTAACAGCGATCGTGAATACATGTTCGAAGGTTAAAATAATTCAAAAAATTGTTCGCATAAATGTATTGTTCAGTCGTCCGCGATTGTTTCTGTACGTAAAGCATCTGAGAAAAATTTGTTACAAGAGTTTTAGTAGTTCATTTCCTTCTTTGATTGCATCTAAATCATCTTGTGTTTTACCACCAAGATTATCAAGATAGATCTCTAATTCATTTTGTCGCTTCAATACTGTTTCTTCAAACGTCTTTTTCCGTTCGTCTGCCAAAGCTTGTACTTTCTTCTGCGCTTCCTCTGTGTCCTTTAAAAGTTGTTGCACGGCTTCTTGTCGCTCCGCATCCGTCTTCATTCCCAACATCTTTGCCAATCCACTGAGTTTGCCCATCATGAACTCATTTGAAATATCAACATAGGTACGAGACATTACGTAGAGTATGTAGGTTTGTCGATGAATGTTGACTGCTTGTCCTTTAAGTAAATTAATGTAGAATGTTCGTTCAGATTCCGTAATATTACTGAGCGATGATACTTCCTGCATACGATCAACAAAAGGGATTAGTGTTTCATTTACCGCGATCTGAGTACGAATAGAGATTTCGGAGAAAAATTGAACTAGATGTCCCCATTGAACTCGAATATTGCCCAGCAGCAAGATGGCTTCACGTAAAAGCTCAATAATCTGTTCATAGTTGATTTTCGTCAGATCAAGTTTTGCAATTTTAATCATTAGTTCCTTCATCTTATTCTGTTGCTCAAGCAATTGCTGAAAAACTCCATTAGAGAGTTGTACAGCCTTTTGAAGACGGTCTAATGTGATGGTGACTTTGAATTTTTCATTATCATAATTGCCGGAATTTGACGAGGATTGTTGTTGTGGTGTGTCTTGAGGATCAACTTTAGTGGAGTTCATTGATTTTGCAGCTACTAATGGTTTCAGTTGCCCAATCAGACTCGTTAGCTGATTTATAATTTCGTTAGCATCTTTCAAATCTATTACATCTATAGCTGATTGTAAGATGTTAGAAACTGTCTTTGTTAGAGTACTGTCACCTTTGACAGTTTTTAACAAATTATTCATTGCGTTGAAACCGACTCTATAGGAATTAAAATCTTTTGTCAGAGTTTGTACACTTGCGTTAACATTTTCTGTTACGCTATCCAACATTGTATTCAGCTGATCTGATAACATGTTTGCAATGGACAGCGATTGACTTGAAATAATCTTGTCACCAAAGTTTGTGACTGGTTCACTTCCTCCATTACCACCACGATCTGCACCAACGATACCACCGAGGACTGTTCCAACTTTTCCTCCGAAGGCTCCTCCTACGATCATTGGTACAACATCATCGATTACATCAACAACGCTCTGTACGAAATTCTGTAGAATCTTATCCCATCCAGTTGGCAAGTCTTCCAAAGCTTTTGTGTACGCAGCCTGTGCCGTTCGAACAGCTTCCTGTGCTTCATCGTAGTACTTTTTAACTGTTTCAAGAATTTGTTCTCCATACTTTTGTGCTGCACGCGAAACATTGAGCTCAATCTCAATTTCTTTCACTTTTTGTATGTGAACACCTTGAGTTAGAACTGTAACTTCAATTACTTCACCCAAAAGTTGCATGACGTTCACAAATGTATCGTGCGTATCAGAGGCTAGTTTAGAACATTCCTTTCCGATTCGGTCGATATTATTTAACGATGGTACTAAAAGTTTTGCTAGAAGTCTTGGTGAAGATTGCAGTAATATCTGAAATGATGTTTTCACATGTTCTGGAACCATTGCCATATATAGCTGAATGGTGTTCATTGAACTGTGTGCCTTATTGAATGCTTCCCATCCATCGTTTGAAATTTGAATCAGAGTAGCACGATAGGATTGTGGATGACGAATGTATTTGAACTTGTAGTCACCTACATTTTCTTTGAAAGAAAAATCGACTACAGTTGAGATGACAATGAGTTGACCCAGAATGTTGATAGCGACCGGTCCAGCTGAGATAAATCGCTGCCAGGGGTAGTCTATACCAGTTTGACTCAGAAGTTGTTCATCCGTTTCCTGTTTGAATAGACTGATGACGTTCGTTGTTTGATTAGCTGAAACAAATAACAAGGAATTAAAACTTATTTTAGGGGGTGCGCAAGCACTTGATTCTTACATGTTGTACGACGTTGCCTTCTTTGAACTTCTACGATAAAAGAATCGTAAAATGGATTGAGTGTAGAGTCAGGTGGAAGAAAAACGCTTTTCGATAGGAGATAAGGTTGCTGTATGTTGGCGATGGCCGCTTGTGATGTAGAAATATGTGGCCGCAGACTGAGTACGGTTAGTATGAATATGTAACCTGGGGAATGTCAAAAGATGAAAATCTACGTTTATTAAGAATATTTATTACAATGTAAAAAAAAAACTCACCTTTAGCGAATAACGAATTCATTGTATGTTTTAGCGATCTGAAAAGAAAGAGCAGAACATGATCAGTTATAGCCAATAATTTTTTGTAAGAGAACTGGACGTGTCTTCTTTATATAAGAGACAAAAAAGTTGTGAGATTATTTTAGTAAAAAAAAAGTTTTAAAAAAAGTAAGAAATAATGACATGAAAGCTTCTTGAATAAATAGTGTTCAACTGGTTAGATCTCTTTATTTCTTTGTACCGCAGCTGACACTTCTGAGCAAAGTATTAAATGGCATTTGTGGTAAGACGTCGGCTAATTGGTCCAAACTCCGTTTTACCTGAGCCAGTGTAGCATCATTGATAATATCAACAGGCATACTCAACAACAGATTGCCTTTTGTCAATTCATTGTAAATTGCATTCAGTGGATTTACAAGTAATCTGAAGTTGATCAGATCCTTGATCGTGTTGTAAAGAACTGACGATGCGTCCCATATGTTTGTAATATGAACGATAGTCTGTTTCAATTGATCATTGATTATTGCTGTTGAATTACTAACGTCTCGTAGCTTTATCAAAGTTGATTGTAACTCTTGTAACTGTGTTTGCAACTGACTCAGGTGTGTTTCTAAACCGGATTTCTGATCTTGCAACGATGACAACTGTTGACTTGTTGTTGTGCACTTTGAACTTGTCCTTCTGCATTACGACGTGCATATTTTGCGCTATTGATTCCGCCCGAGGTGAAGACGCTGCAAAGTGGTTTCTCGATTATTTTATCGATTGCGTCTTTGATTGGTCCAAAGATCACGCCCAAAAATCGTTTTCGTTGTCGTCGTCTTCCACCTAGACAATTTCGTACATCTTCAACTTTTTGTTGTGCAATACGAAGATCATTCCCCACGTTGGCCAGTGCTTGTTGTTTGTCTCTCAGACCTTGCTCAGCTGTGCTCAGCTGAGACTGAACGCCTTGGACTTCCGTTGTTTTTTACTGAATTTCACCTTGTTTGCCTGAGATCTCATTTTCTTTCACACTAACGGCAGCAACAGCATCGACAACCTTTTGATCGATTTCGACACGAAGTTTTTGACTGCTATCGACCGCTACATCCAGTGTATTGTAGACACGTTGAACCGCACAAGTTAAAGTCGAGACCAGCTGATTGATAGATGTTTCATTGTTTGCATTGGCGTTAGTCAACAGTGGATTCAAAATATCTTGTTGCAGAATTGTATAAGCGTCTTTGTATGCTGGCACGACCGATTCTGACATTTTAGTATCATATCATGTCTGCGTAACGTCGTCACATTGGATGATAATATCACAGGAGAAAAAGAGCAGTGCTACTAAGACGAGTTTCATTGTAGTGATTGGTGATGTGTGATTATTTCAAACCGATATTATAAATCAGTTTGATGTGTTTCGATCTCTACCATTTTATAGGCATTCTATCTCAGCATATACATTTTGATTAATCATCATTGCATAATTTTATTTCTCTTTGGTTACTTCCTTCTTATTCTTTTATGTTCTAAACATAGCTGTGTGTCCAATCATTCAAAAGTAATTTGTTTACTTAAGCAGATACAAAGAATCACATTTTACTCTTCACTTAATTCTACGTCTCCACTACTCTTTTTTAATCAATTCAATATTTTTTCGGTACAGAATCCAATCATTCGGAATAATACGTATTTACACAATCCGAAATAACTTGTTTCTTATGTTTTAAGTGTATGTCAATATTGGAAAAAACCAGGCTTTTTTCTCTCTGACTGAGGCAAGATTACTTCCTATAGCATCTTCATTCATTCAGACTTTTTTAATGTAACTTATGGTGGGGTGTAAGTGTGGGTGTGGATATGGGTGTGGAATGTGGGTGGTGTGTGGATGTGGATGGTGTGAGGATGTGGATGTGATCGTGAGTGACATTGCTTCTCGTCCCTTGACCCGTCAGCATCCACACCCACACTCACACCCATACGCCATACCACACCTACACCCCACATCCACACAGTCACACCCACACATCACACTGCACTAGAGCCTGTCGGGTAGGACCCGGATCCGAGCAGGTCCGGATCTAAAAATTTCGTTTTGGCTGGGCTCGGGTAGGCTCCGGGTCTGAAAATTTTACTGTGACCGGGTCCGGGTCGGATCCAGCTCTGAAGAAAACTTCGATCCATACAATGTATTGTGAATTTTTTCAAAATTTTGTTCGTTTTATAAAGAAAAAAAATTGAACGTATTTAGAAAATAGACAAAAAAACAACAAAACACTTTTTCAATATATTATCGAAACTGATTTATCATCCTGCTTAGATCCAAAAATTTAAGCGACCGGGTTCGGGTCGGGTCCGGTTTCGAGTACGAGTGTAGTAAATTAAAAATGGGTCCGGGTCCAAAAATCTTGGATCCGACGGGCTCTACACTGCACCCACACCTACACCCCACATCCACACCCGCACCCCACGCCCAAAATATTTATGTAGTTTTTAATAAAGCCACTTGTATGAGCTGACATCTTTCGTTCAACGATATCGTTCGTCAGAGCACTCTTTGCTTACTTTTATCGTTGCTGTTGTTGTTTGCTACCTAGTGGAATCATATTGTTATTGATGATTTTGTGAATTTTCCACCCTGTGTATGTTATATGTGCAGGCACATTTATTGAGTTCTGAATTTTCAGCAAAATTTTCTTGATCTGAATTTGTTGACAAGAATTACCATGACTTTTTTTTGGTATGCAAACATTATTTTGACTATTATAATTTCAGATGAGTCAAAAGCATAAGACCTGAATGTGTTGTCCTCATTTGCCAAATATAAAAACTCTTGATATGCATCACTCCATGTATACTAACTCCTCGCAATAGAAGACCACGGATCTTCTATTATGTACAAGCGTAATAAAGTTTTAGGGAAGACCTTGAACTATGTTCTATGTATTTTCATAGTTTTTAATTAACTCATTGAATCTCAAATTATTTCTACTGAACTGAATTGAAGCGGACTGTTATATTAACTTATTTCAGGCACAGAAACACAGCACAAATACCTCACGTGCGCGTGCATGTGATTTACTCAATGTAAGCTTTTATTGAATTTTGCTACACTTGAATGCAAATTTTAATTATTAAAATTTATAGTTAGCATGTACGTAAATATTTTTCTTTTGAAATTACAAAAAAAGTCACATTTTCTGATTGAAGTCAATCATAATAGCTCAGTACACTAGTTGTTATATATTTATCTTATGAATAAAAATTTTGAAAACACTTCTATAATTGACCAAAAGATTATCCCATTTGATTGAAATGAAGTAAATACACGAGTGAGCCAATTATATGAATGTCATGTAAGCTAGATGCTGTCTAATGGAAGTCAATATCTTTTTTCGTTATATGTGATTTTTGAGTAGTTTCCTACGCAACGAGTCTAAAACAATGCAAAGATTAATAGAATTCGAATCATCTGGTATATTTTGATGCAAGTACACTAATTAAAGTTCTCAGTTTTCGAAAAAAATAATCAATTAAGGGCTATCTTCTATTACACCTAATACCTAGGAAGAGAAAAAACCGAAGGAATATGCAAAATACATCTTTGATGAAGTCGGTGTTCGATATTAGAAGTTCATTTTTTAGTTATCTGAGCTGCCGTTTGTGTAAGAAACACATCAGAAATAGAAAGATAATGTGCCAGTTAAGATTGTATCTCAGAAGTTCCAAAATTATTGTTCGAGTGTCAAATAGAGAAATCGTTGGCATCATATGTCATGCGATACATCTTGTAGTGTCTCTCTTCAATGTAGACATTGGTTCGATATTTTATTTTAGAATTCCATTAGAAAGTTGGTACAAGTTTCTGTCAACAAAGTTCAAAAGCATCAAACTATCATACTTACTATTTGTTCCAAGAAAAAATGTCATGTTCAGGATCAGAAGAACCGAATTCATTCTATTTGGCTTGTTGCAATAATGATTTAAAGACAGTTCAAGAGACTGCTAACCGTAATGAAATCGATATCAAGGGACCTAATGGTAACACACCCCTACATGCTGCATCAATGTATGGTCACGTTAAAGTTGTCCGACTTTTACTGCGATATCATGCATCTCGCACAATCCGTAATAATAACGGACTTACTGCCGAAGAATTAGCACTCAATGAAGAGACTACAGCGGCATTCAAGGACCCCATACGAATGATCTCAGATTCGAACCATTTCGTTGCTTCATCACGTGAAGTTGAATGGCTTGATTCCTATAAGAATGCTTATCGCATCTCATACGAGAATCATGAACACATGAAACGATGGTTGACGAAAGTTGCTCTACAAAAATTACTCAACGCAATTGTCACTGACTATATTGACAAACTAAATTTTACCGATGAAAAAAGCCGTGAAATAATCAAAGAGTATCTGTCTTATACGATAGACCTAGATGATCCTCTTGGATTATTAATGGCATACACGTGTCCCAGTGTTAATTTCTTTAATTTGTTAAATCGTAATTTAGCCGAATTAGGCTCCGACTTTCGTTTTGTCAGCACTCAAGCTTTAATCAATTCAGGTTATGTCGACAATGAACCTCCACAAGGTCTTGGTCAATATATTTTTGCTTCTATCATTATCAATCATCCTCGTTTTCGTCCATACCAATATGCTGGAACTACTTTTCGTGGAATGAAAATTACAAAGAAAGATCTTGAAGAATACAATAGTGGGAATATTGTTATGACTCGTTCGTTCCTTTCTACATCAAAAAATCGATCTATTGCCGAACTATTTCTTGATTGCAAAGATTACGAGACTTATCCGCCAGTTATATGCATTTATAAAGTAATCAATCCTCGATCAAGTCTCGCAATTGAAAAGATGAGTAAAGTCGAGGACGAGGAAGAAGTGTTGATTGTTCCATTTACTGTTTTTCAAGTAAAAGAACAACGCGATACACAGTTGATTCACGAAGGTAAAACCTATCCTGTCAAAGAAATTGAATTAGAAGAATGCGCTCAAGTATGAACTCTCGTTTATTTTATCAAGAACTTCAGATTGATCTGAAGCGATCGTGAACGTATTTCGCATCCAAATGACTAATCATCTGATGAATGTAGTTTTGTTTATTTCTTGCACGTGACACGTATTGATTGTGGTTGAGTATCTGTTTGCCAACTGGGTGTGGGTGAGATATTCAAACTGACACCCACACTCACACCCTCTAGAGATGTTGTAGGAAAAAATTATTTTATTAAATTTTTTTTTCTCCTATATTAACACTAAGAAAATAACATAAAAATATTTATTATTAGTATATGAAGATTTTCTAAATAAATTTTTCAAAAAAGATGATTTTTAACGGAAATTATCATGGTTTCAAGTAAAACTCGATGCATTATGATACAAAGCGCAAATTACTCACCAGAAATAATCTTTTCATCTAAGAGAAAAAAATTTATAGCTGTCAAAAAAATAATCCTTTTAAAAACCTGACAAATCTACGAAAAATCAGTTGTGATTTGTCTATAAGTTGGCTCGAATTGAGTGAAGTTTTAGGAAGAAAATGCATTAATGAATTCTTTGTTCATTTAAATAAATTAGAAAGATAAAAGCCTGCTTCTGTCTCTGCTAACTATGTTTTTCTTTCACAAAGATGTTTCTTCGCAAACAAAAAAAAGGAACTTTTCAAAGAGCAATTTCTAAAGTTATATCATACATTTCTTTAATTTATCGTTCTTATTTACTCTGCATATAGCAAAGCGAAATACGTCATCTTTCATTCTCTTACTAGTAGATTATGCTGCAGTAAACAAATTCAATCATCTTAATTAAAGAATTTTATAACAAGAAAATAAATTTACTTGTTAATTGTAGTTATTCTTTAAAATCAGAAAATTTATCAATGTATTCGAGTTTTGTTCGAAAACATGTTCTTGATACATTATCAGAACATGTAATTACATTAAATATGGAAAAAATTAGTTGGCAAGATTTATTTTACGCTTTACAGATGAATGCCAATCCGTAGAAGATTTAACGAGTGCTATAAAGATGTTAAAAAATTATGATAAAAGAAAAATTCTAAAATTGAAATCATACAAGTAGGAATATTCATAATTCAATGTAATATATTTCAGCTGACAAACGTTGTCGTGATGAATTTGAAACACGCATTATATCAGTTTTACAAGAAATTGGAAATTTATATGGTAAAAACAAAATTGAAAATAAAAAATGAAATTATTTGAGGGCCCCTCTTTCCGATGTTTCTCGAGAACGGTTAGACGAAATTTTTTGAAACTTTCAAGGTAGGATAGATCTCGATGAGTAGAATAAAGGTTGTCATAGACTCAGAATTCCCGAATGCTTTCTTCAGGGAGATTTTGGGATGCCAAGGGCCAAAAATGGCTTGAAGTTTTCTCTCCGGCAAACGGCCATACTACGTTCTTTTGGGCTGAATTTTTTTCTGCAGCAACTAGGAACAAATCTGGGTGCATATTTTCTTTTTCTTTGAAAAATATTGTTCCTGAGACTCAGGAGAAGCAAAACACTGGAGACACTATCAAAAAACCATTAAAAAACAGTTTTCTTTTTTCAGATGATACGAATTTTATACAGCCTGCCAAACTTCATAGGTACAATGTTTTCAAGAGAAAAAAAAATACACACCTCAACTCGATCGAAGAACTCATTAAAAAAGTTTGAGTCCAATCGGTCTTACCGTTTAGGAGAAAAGGGGGAAAACTTCAATTTTCCCCTTAAAAATCTGGTTTTCAGAAAAACGCAAAGAAAGATGCACTTTTTGG